AGAGAGAGAGAGAGAGAGAGAGAGAGAGAGAGAGAGAGAGAGAGAGAGAGAAAGAGAGAGAGGTGGCAGGGCAAAACCCCTCCCTCTCCACATCACGAAGGGGGTCCAGCGTTCCGGTAACGCCGGAACCCCTTGGTGTTGTGGCCATCGAGGGGGCGGAACGGACCCCATTCCTCGCTCACAACATCAAGGTGATGTGGCCATCGAGGGGGTGGGACGGACCCCCTTCCTCCCCCGCAGCACGAAGGTGCCGTGGCCACCGAGGGGGCGGGGCGGACCCCCTCCTCCCGCGCAGCACCAAAGGGCATCGAGGGGGTGGGACGGACCCCCTTCATCCCGCTCAGCACCAAAGGGGTCTGGCGTTCCCGGAACGCCGGACCCCCTTGCCGGTGCGGGCATCGAGGGGGTGGGACGGAACCCCTCCTCCCCCGCAGCACCTAGGAGGTCCGGCGTTCCGGGAACACCGGACCCCCTTGGCGCTGCGGGCGCCGAGGGCGTGGGACGTACCGCCCTGCTTCCCCGCAACACCGAGGGGGTCCAGCGTTCCGGGAACTTCGGACCCCCTTGGTGCTGCGGGCATCGAGGGGGTGGGACGGACCCCCTCCCTCCCCCGCAACACCTAGGGGGTGGGACGGACCCCCTTGGTGCTGCGGGCATCGAGGGGGAGGGACGGAACCCCTCCTCCCCCGCAGCACGTAGTGGGTCCGGCGTTCTCGGAACGCTGGACCTCCTTGGCGCTGCGGGCACTGATGGCGTGGGACAGACCACGCTCCTCCCCCGCAGCACCCCGGGGGTCCGGCGTTCCGAGAACGCCGGACCCCCTTGGTGCTGCGGGCATCGAGTGGGTGGGACGGACCCCCTCCCTCCCCCGCAGGGCCAGGGGTGGGGGGGGGGTCCATCAAGGGGGCGGAACGAGGGGGTGGGACGGACCCCTTCATCCCCCGCATCACCAAAGGGGTCCGGCGTTCGGGGAACGCCGGACCCTCTTGGTGCTGCGGGCGTCGAGGGGGTGGGACGGACCCCCTTCATCCCCGTAGCACCAAAGGGGTCTGGCGTTCCGGGAGCGCCGGACCCCCTTGTTAATGAGGCTCCGTCCCACAGAGAGAGTTCCGGGGGAGAGAGTTTTTTTGAATGGCATACTCGAAAAGGTCTTGCTCGCAATACATTATGATGGGAGAGAGAGAAAAGGTCTTGCTCGCAATGCATTCCGAAAAGGTCTTGCTCGCAATACATTCGGGGGGAGAGAGCTTCATATGAATGACATATTGAAAAAGGTCATGCTCACATTACATTTCGAAAAGGTCTTGCTCGAAAAAGGTCATGCTCACATTACATTCCGAAAAGGTCTTGCTCGAAAAGGTCTTGCTCGCAATACATTCCGA